CTCTCTCTCTCTGTGTCTATCCCTCTCTCTCTTTCTGTCTCTCTCCCTTTTTCTCTCTTGCTCCCTATGTCTCTTTTTCTGTTTTGAGTACTTCCCAAAACCCAGTCACGTCTGATGCGAATGCTGTAGCGCTGGTGTCCACCATATGCGTTTTTCTTGTGCCTCTCGATGAGTATGTTTCGTGAATTGGGCACCAGCAGACACAAGGACCGCCTTGGGATGTTACATGATTTGGAACGCCTCTGTTTTCCCCCAGTTTTTTTTCTTCCCCACCAAGACACGCCAACCCTTCTTAAGTAGCATCGACTCGGCGAACCAAGTTCTGAACTCAGTGCCCTGATACCGTGCCCGCCTGTCCCACGTTGTGTTTTCTGCTTCACGTCGCCTCGTCTTATAGGTATCGTGGTCATCGTCACCTGCCTCTGCGCCACATACGCTGTTATGCCTCGGAAACCCGAACAAACCGCTACGACGCTCGATGCCCCGCTTCTGTAAAGCCGCGTATGTGTGAATTGTAGACAGCAAGAAGCAAGCGCAATAGCTGAAGGTTTTGCGTTGTGCCAACCCTTTCGCCATGAAAAACTACCTACCCGAAAGTCATCCACGCCAGAACCTTTTACTTTGCCTAAGTGCGTTCATTGTATTTTGAATGATGGACGGAGATACACATACAAGACAGCAGGAACAGAGAGAGGAGGGATTCTGCTGTGAGTGTGTTGCTTTCTGTGCTGTGTTTCGCGGCGTGGTGTGTGCTTCCGATACAGAAGGCCGGAGTGCAAATTGTCCAGGCCACTGCACAACTATCACACATCCACAATTGTGTTGTGAGTTGCTCGCGCCACCACACCCTCCCTGGGATCCATCCCACTTCGGCGTCTGCTGTCACCGTCTGCCAGTTGTACCTGTATTTATTTGTCGTAGACGGTAGGGTCTGACGTTCCCATGAGTGTCCAAAGTCTCACAGCCGTCCCGTTGTAAAGCGTGTGTGGTTGACGCGTATTGTATACTTTGTTTATGAACATAGGGATGAAATACCCACCCTTTGGTATGGCGTCCAGAGGGGAAAAATTGTTGATGGTGTCGAAGAGCCAGCTGGTCGATGGTTGTTTTCATTTTGCGTGTGTTAACAATTGCTTGCTGTTATTTGTAAGCTTGGTGTTTTGCACGGCACTTGATTGAAGCGGTACTTCTTGACTATCGTTGTGTGGGAGCGTGGAGATGAGGGTTGATAAGGGTCACATCTCCCCAACACCTGTCGGGGACGATACCCTCTCTTCAGAAGGTTGCTACATGTTTCCATTCAATACTCTACATACACAAGTCGCGAGGGAAGGGATTGCTGTACCCTCCTCGCGATAAAAATATTTCAGGCAGGAACCGCAGGAGGGGGTCCAGCCCCCCCCTCCTTTGTGACCCCGGTTGGGTCGTCTAGCTGGTAGCAGTGGAGGATAGTGGCCAGAGGGGCAGACGACAGAGTCCAATGGTGGGAGAAAAAAAAAGAATACAGCAAATTTTTCTGGCGTGGATGACTTTCGGGAAATTGTGGTTGATGTTCAAGAGGATGCCGCAATCTTTGGGCACAGAATGAGGAATCCAAACCACAACATCGAAGCGGCTAACGAGTGTCGTGTCTGCAGGCAAACCTCCATTCTGGCGGGTATCTGTGTCTTCGAAACGAACGTACGAGTGTGGGGACCACCCCTTCTAGCCACCGTTTCTCTGATCGACGCGGTTCTTGAGACTGATATGTTTTGGCGGAGGTGGTATCTCTGACTTGGTGGACAAACCTAGCTCATTTTTGTCGCGCGCCTGTACATCTCGCGGGGAAAGCATGAAGTTGCACAATGTGGGCAATCGCCATAAACCACAAGGAGAGAAAGGAAGCGCGTTTTCAGCTCCTCGACCTGCGTGTATAGCTCGCAACGGGCACGCACCAATCGACATCGGGGTTTGCCTACGAGCGCCGACACGGGCATTGCAAAATAGGATGGTTGTGTTAATGTGTGTGCTGGAGCTTGGACTCCTTCTCGTACGCCCCACACGTGTACACTCCCCCCCGTCTTACCTGGCAAATTCCCCCACAGCAAGCCTTGGTTTTGTCACCGGGGAGGTGTTATCCACGGGTGAAACGATGCTGTTCTCGTCCACTTGGGACTGACTCGATTTAGAAAAGGGATGGCCTTCCTACTCTTTGGACCGCGGATCGGACCTGTGCTGGCTTGCTGGTGGGAAAACACGAAGAAAATATGTTATGCCCCCCAGTGTGCAGTTCAAGGCAAAACTTGAGCCACGCTAGTCCGCTCCCGCTAGACCTCCTGGTGAACGACACAGTGTTGGAGAGGACTAGGGGCGACTTTTTGCTAAAAAAAAAATTAAGTTTGCGGTTGTCCGGGAGCATCTGTCACTCGTACAAGTTGCGCTGCATGCGTCCAACGGTCGCGCGTGTGAGGTGCAACGTGACAAAACACGGTCCTTGTAACTTTGTCCCGAGAGCGCGTGGGATTGCCGCCTCCACGACATCGTAAGCCTCTAGAGCTATCCAACGTTTTCATGACAACAACCGTCCCAACGCTGTGGGAGTGGCAGACGTACGTCTCCCGCTGTCGCAAAGTGTGTCGAGAGAACCACGTCGGCTGCAGGTAAAGTTGTCTCCAGGAACAAGGATGCGTTTTGTTGTACCCGGATGGCGCCATGTGAAATTTCTTGCTGCAGTCAGTAACATGTCCATGGTACATCGTGGCTTCTGTAGTGGATCAGGTACAAGGGTTACTTCAACACTGTAGCTGCTTTTATTTCAGTGGAACATGTCCATGGTACATCGTGACTTCTGTAGTGGATCAGGTACAAGGGTTGCATACACACCGTGGCTGGTTTCATTTCAGTGAAACTGCAGGTTTGGAAGCCACCTGCCCGAGTGTACATGGTAGATTTTCTCATGTGGGATTTTCTCGGGGAAACTTCTGTCTTTTCGTACATACCTAATAATCAGGTCTACGTGCTGCGTGTTGTCAAATGCTTTGCACCGTCATGAGAGCTACTGAGATTCCTAGCACCTTCTCCTGTCGCAGCGTGCGATCCCCCCACGGTTCAATGCCGCTCTATGTTTTAGTTTGTACGTACCCAACGCCCGCCTGTCATACCACCCTCGCCCTTTGCAAAAATGAAAGCACCGTGCGGTAGACAACGTTCACTCCCCCCCCCCTAGGACAGAGACACATGCCCACGCAAGCACAACATACACACAACAAACTACGAAGTGTTTACTTTTCGGCCGGCCGGCCGAACGCTCCTTGCCCACTCCACTCAAATGGACCGATGAGTTCTAGATGTCGAGGTCGGTCGATTGCCGGTCCCTCAAGAAGCGTGTCTGCTACGTCACCATACTGGCCGTAGAGCGACTGTGGAAGGCAGGGGCGGCTTCCTTACGACGAACAGGGGTGGGGCACCAACAAAGAACGAACGAAACCAACGTGTATGGTCCTTCAAGCGCACGTTGTGGCCGATTTCTACGGAGGAAGCGGCTCTCTACACCACCACTCGTGGGGGTGCCCCCCTCGCGCGCCCGTTCCCAAAATCTTAATCCGTCTCCCTATCCAATGTCGGCTTGAAGCCACTCGGCAATTCTCAACTCATGCACCGCAATAACGAAAGAAAAAAACGGAGGTTGAAGCAACTTCGGAAGTGAACGCCATGAACGCTGTTTTAGCTGTGCCGCAAGCTCCGAAACACCCCTCCTCTTCCGATGTGTGTGGAACGCCCCAGATTCGGGCACGCATGTGGGTAGCTCACGGGTTTCCGATCAGCGCAGCCGGACCTCCCGTCATCACGTCAACTCAACAATGACAATATTTTTTCTCGTTCGAGGTCTACATAGCAACAGGTTATGCGTAGCCCACGTCCTCGATCTCGCTCTCGGGGTCCCTCGACACCTTCTTGTTGAGGAAGAGCGGCACGCCGCGGCCGTCGCCCTTGCAGTTGACGCACGTTATGAACCCTTTCCCGCGGCAGGACGGGCACGTGAGCGTCGTCGTGGTCACCTCGTTCGAGGACGCGACGGTGTCCAGCACGGTTATCGAGCCCACGCCGTAGCAAGTCGCGCACGGGAGCTGCCCCGTGGAACGGCAGTAGGGGCAAGCCGTGAGTTCCTTCACTTCGTTGATCTTGAGCTGTGCGTGCAGGGGCCGGCGGGCGTATCGTGAGGCGGAGGGAAAAGTGTTGGTAGTTGACGAAATTGTGATTACCGGGTGCGTGCGAACACGTCTTGGGGATTTGCAGCAATCGCAACTTGGAAAGCTTTCGTTGTGTTCACGTGAATGGACGGCCCGCGTCATTCTTGTTGTCGATCCGGACTGACAACCTGGCTACTTCGTGGTCTCAGTTTGCGTCCCTTCTTTTGCGCTTTGCTGGACTCAAGACACTGCTACGGTACAGGGTTTGAGCAAGATAGGGACAAATCACGTGGGGGCTGGGATGAAAAGCCAAGGTAACCATCCCACTTTGTCCCGTGAGGTTTTCGCGGAATGGTGACACACTGCGAAACTATTCTCGGCACTCCGTATGCATTATATCACGTGCAGGTTAGCTGCCACAGCCACCGCCTTGCAACACAAGTTGACCTGTTGATGTTTTGTGGATAGTGTACCGCACAAATGCAAATTGACGACCAAACTGACGATATGTCCACTGCAACATAGAAGTTGCTGCTACCGGTATCTGACGTACAACTAACGGTAGATTCTCGCTTGCCTCGAATGTATAGACATGCATCACGTGATTCTGGTGTGTCTGGTCTGACGATCACGTGTTTATACCTCCGCATACATGCAGGTTGCTGTACCGCCGTTTACCCATCGTGGGACCGTGGAGAGACATATCCATCAAATAGCTGCAACGGTGCACCTTGAATGAAACAGGTGAAACATGGCAAAAACAATGTAATTGGACACAGATGCTGTTGCAATACACCCACCGAAGGCCACCGAAGGTGGTGCTTGCACGGAGTAACGAGCGGACTGGACCGACGGAGTGGAGGATGATGCATGGGTGACACACGCGCCCCGATCGCAAAAACGCGGTCGAACTGACGAACTGACACATGAAACGACAGCAGGCTATGCGCTTCCTACATACATATGCATACGGGAAATCATTTGCCCGAGAGCTACACTTCACCCCAACACGCTCCACCGCAACACGCGGCCGTGCGGAACACGGCTATACCACCCCACCTGAATCGCCGACAGAGTGCCGAGGACGCCCACAGTTCCCCCGGTGAAGGCTGAAGGGATGTGGTGCCGCGTGCTCTGCTCCAGCAAGGCCCCCAACCCGGGCAGGTCGAACCCAGCCCTCAACTCACGGACGCCACCGGTGGCTGTCCTGCTCTTACCCGTGCACCCCCTTCCTCGATTTCGCCGCCTCGTCCATTGTATGGCTGTTCTCCCGCCGCTGCCGCCCTCGATGTTACATGATGACACGGGTGATGCCCGGGCTTCTCGCGAAAGGCGGTGGGATCCCGCGGATGCGAGTCTTGCGCGGGGCTGCCTAGAGCTGATGGGGACAAAAGCCTGCGGGCTCTGGCAGAACAAGGCCAGCAGCGTGAGGATACAGCATGGTTTCTTCATCGTCGTCCGTGTGAGATGCACCAGCTACGTGGTGTAAAACGTACCGAGAGGACTACACTACGTACAGAGCGGAGACAGGTGAGAGGAGTGCAACCAGAGGGGCTCCGCGGATGGCATACTCTGTGCCGCCGGCTTGGGGGCTTATTGGGTTTATATATCTGTTCCGAAGGTGCGGTGTGTTGCCAGCCTCTGCACTGCGGCTGCTGCAGTTCCCTTGTCCCTCCCTAGTGCAGAGGAGACCGGAGACAATGATCGACACCAAGCTGGAAGAGATCAGAGCGGCCGTCGCCGAATGCCACGTCGGCAAGGACGGGTCCACCCACGAGGCCAGGCAACAGGAGAACGCCCGGCGAATACGTGTTTTCAAAAAGCTCGACGCGTATGCCCAGGATCTCGTGCAACAGATTGCCGCTGCTGCCTCGAATGAGGACACCTCCAGGATCGAGGTGACCCGTGATACAGCAGTTGTTTTGAGCTTGTGGCGCCGAGGTCGAGTCATGTTGTGCGTCACAGCAAGTGGTGCTGTGTGAGCAACATAGCACAGCACCTCCCACCTCCCCTCTCTCAACCGACGCGGAACAACAGCCCGTGCTTTGATGTTCCCGCAGGGTACCTTGGTGCCGGCATGCTTACAAAGGGCACGTCACAGTTCACAGCTACACTTGTAGTTTCGCGTTGGAGAGATTGCTGGGGATGGCAGTGTTATGGTGGCGGTGCTTTGTATTCATGTAAGGTTTGCTGTGTTGCATATCACGTAATCCATCAGGATCTGCCGGGCACCATCTATGCATACGTTGCAAGTTTGTTTTTTTGTGGAAAATACGAAGGCCGTCACCTCACGACCACATCCCACAGAGTACTACTTGCTGTCGCCTTTCGTAAATTCTGAAGCACAACACATCCGTACAAGTAGTAGCTGCTGTGGTGCATTTGAATTTGTATCGAACCTCACCCACAAGGTTAGTGGTTGCTTCAACAGCATCTATCTATGCACCGTCTACGTCTTGGTTGTAAAATTTGTGACGGTTAGCCCTTTCGTGACTCCTGTCACCGTCATTCGCCCTGTCAAGAAGAAGCGTCTGTTGTCTACAACAGCTGGCCTACAATCTCCAACAGGGTAACATTAGGACGAAAGGCCTGCAGTACCACTTCGGTAGACCTTGTGAACCACTTGTTCTACACGGATGAGTTGCGAATGCATCGACGTCTTGAGGGACAATAAATTTGGCCTTCTTTCTCGGTACGCTTGATTCGCAGCCGAAGCGCGCCCTGCTGCTGCTTCTCCTAGGCAGCAGCAGTTTGACGCTTCACATTTGTTTGTCATGTATAGTTCAGTGCCGCGTGAGCTTCCCCCGAAACTCCACCCGATTGATTGGATCACATGCAGTGGTTAGAGCCGAGTACTGCGAAGCCCTTCAGCAACGAGTCGCGAGTATCGTGCCATTTTGACCTATAATTTACATACCTACCGGCAAGACAAGCAGCGTTTCTCGTCCCATCCTTGTTTCCCGCGTCTTGGCTACGGCCTCACACCCTTCATACATTTATAAAGCAATCGTGATAAACGTCTCAGCAACCACTTTTCGCGGTTCGGCACAAACACGTGTAGCGTGAAGGCACGGAAAATGGCACGCGCTTCACCTCTACAGTACGAACCACCTGCTCCAGTTGGCGCTTGCGCCAGAAAAGAGTCGGGAGGGTTGGGCCTGATTCCGCGCTCGCTGCCGAAGTGTGTGGAGCTGCTCTAGAATCTACCTATCGCTCCACTTAGAATGTGTGGAGAGCCCTGCCGCGCGAACCTCCCAAAGCGCTTGTTAGGGGTAAATGAGGGGCGCCCACCCCCCTCACCCCATCCTCTCAGCATGAAGAGATGAGAGTAAGAGGGTCGCATCACGGATGAGTCTCGCCGGAGTTAACCCCCCCCACCCGATGTGTAAGGCTCGAAGTCGCGAGTAAACGCAACAAGTAGGTGTACCCTTTCCTGTGGCGTTGTTACAACTGAAGGCAAGCACTGCTGCGGAGGAATATGGTAACGCCCTCCCGTGCGACCCGTGCTGGTGTGGCAAACATGATGCACATAATGGTGTAGACTGGAGCCCAGAGTACATCGATGGGACAAAGTAAGCACCAAATCAAGGTTGAATTGTAAGTTTTCTGGCAACCGACTCGACCCCTCGGTGTATGTTTTCGACTAAACTCTGCCTCCGAAACGCGAGAGCCGTCTGCTTCCGAACTGACCTGTCGCCGCTTCGACTGCCCATGCTGCGCTGCCCAAAGGCCTGCCAACGGGAGCTGGATGCCCTGGCGTCGACGTTGGTGGTGAGGCCCGTTCAGCCTAAATGTAGACCGCTGCTCGAGGCGTTAGACCTCATCTGGCGGGTGCCTGCCGTCATGCTGTTCCTCTTATTCATGGGTAAGTGATTTTTGAGAGAGGACGAAAAAAGACAACAGGAGAGCGTATTGTACCTGTGATGTGTTGGGATCGAGGTTTGTGAACCCGTGGACTCGCTACGCTGCTCCTTCTGGTTGCGCGCGCAAGGGCTCCTATGTTGTTTCCCCACCCACGCACGCTTGCCGCTTCTTGGATGGCCGCCCGCCCCCCCGCCGACTCTCGCGTGTTCGCCACCGCTATTCCTCCTGTTTCCCGGGAAAGTGCGGGAGGGGAATGCGAAAGTCATGGGGACATGTCCACGTAGATGGGCGCCTTGAACAGGCGCTTTGTTATCATTCGAGTCGCCCTGCTGTGCCGTACCTGCATCGCCTTTTGTGGTGCTATTGGACGCTGACTTGGTGGGTGTCGCCATGATACTGCCGTGATGAAAAGCTGCCTCGCACGCGCACATCGAATGATGTCGTGGCGCACCTCTCTGTTGTTGTTGTTGTTGTTGTTGTTGTTGTTGTCTTCACATTAAACTAATCCAAAGATCTAGCAAAGACTCGGTCCGTGGTCACAAAAATGCTAGAGCCATCAGAAGATCTAATGAACACACACGCTGTTAGCAAGAAAAGGGTACACGAACAAGCCCGAAGAGGTACACCTACAATCCCCACAGCACCTTTACGTGCCCAAAGCTGAACCACACGCCCACACACTACATTCGACTACAGCAGCAGCATCACCTCCCCCCTTGTCCCACACTTTCCCAAAATGAATGTTTGTCGACTACAGCGTCCTGCTGTCTGAAGTGCTGTCTGTACAGTAACAAAGTATCTGGGCGGGGTATTTTGTGTCGGTCTGGGCTTGGAAGCGTTTCCAATCGCGTTGCCCAATTCCGTTGTTTTGGGTGTGACCCTGATGCATCTCTGTCTCGCCTTGTCGCACGTTGACGTGCGGGTTCTTGAGCCTGGTACTCGGGCGTCCTGCCCGGCGTTGCCGTACTGTATCAGCACAGCAGTTTTCCGGCGACCAGACACGGCTCGAGGAGTGTTTTACGATAGACTCACGCTTAGCTCCCCCGTTGTTCGCGCGATCGAACATCGATCGCTCTGCTCGAAAGTAGGTAGAACCAGTTTCCTACTGCAGCCCGGAGTTGTATGGAATTGAGCTGCATTTCAGGGAGAAGGGGCTGATTTTTGGCCGCTGTGCATCGTCGACAAGCGCCTCGCCGTCGGATATATCGCGTCTCAACCCTCTATTGCAGCCGAAACATCACAGAATATGCCGATGAATGAGCGCACCCTGCTGGCTGGCCTTTCTGCGAATGCCCCTGTCCCACCGGTTCCGTTTTGCAACAATTTCCCCGCCTGTTCGTTCAGGATTCGTGGTGTCGATACCCCTCATCATGCTAACCATGGTCGAGCAGCAGATCTTTCTCGCACTCAACGGCGGCAGCAACGGGGGAGCGGGCAACAGCGGCGGCCTCTCGTCCATACTCATACGCCTGGATTGCGCGTGGCTCCTGCTGCTGATGGGGATTCAGGTCCGGGCCGAGTTCATGGGCGAGTCGCTATCGCGCCCGGCGATGCTCCTGTTCACCCACGTCAGCACCCTCGACGCCGTCGTCATCTTGGGGACCTTGCCTCGGGCTCTGTGCGCGGTGGTCAAGGTGAAAGAGGAATCATGGGGTGGATGCCTACACACCTACACGCTGTTGCTTACTCCTGGGAGAGGTGGCGGCGATGGGGTGGGGCAGCGATTTTAGAAGAAAGGCTGCAGAACAGGAGCTACGAGAGCATGTGTTGTTGGGCAGCAAAGGCCACTGTCTCTTTCCCGCTGCCTTGCTGGCGGACTTGTTTTGTACATCGATGACATGAGCGCTGTGCTGGCGAGCACCCTGCTTCTCTTTCTTCCCCTGTTACTTGTCCCAGCTCACTCTCGGTACCGACAGTTCACCGTACTGCTGTGCTGTTTTTCGATTCGACGGTTGATGGAATCTCTCATGTCCCTCTCCCTCCCTCTCTCTCTCTGTCTCCCTCTGGTCTCTCTGTGTCTCTCTCTTACTGTCTGTCTATCTATCGATCTGTCTGTCCCTCTGTCTCTCTCTCTCTCTCTGTCCCTCTCTCCGTGGCCTGGCCTGTGGTAGGAGGAGCTGCTTGCCGTCCCCGTGCTAGGGTGGATCATGGCTTCGCGTGGCGCCATCCCTATCAACCGAGGTCATCGTGCCTCCGCAGTGCAGGTACGTGTGTGTGTGCGTCCGGTGGTTTGCGTGTCCATGCCCGTGCTCGTGTTGGTCGCACTTGGTAACGATTGCTCTGAGAAGCCGACCAACGACTAGTCGCACGAAACGCCGACTTACTTTTTGCGACCAGGGTCCCCAAGGGGCGCGCGCCCAAGCAGAGGCTAGACGGAAATGATATAAACCCGTTGGCATCAACTCGCTGACCCACTTGTACCCAAGCTAATGAAGGCCTTAGTCTCCGCGGGGGTGGGAGAGTGAAAGTACGCGTGCTTTTAGCCCATCGCGGGCCTCCCATCACGGGACGACATTTCGCCTTCATGAAGATTTTGCACATGCGTGAACGTGTGTTTTGACCATGTGCTGCATGTAGGATACGTCCTCGTTGCGCATGCAATAACGTTGACCTATGCCGTGGTCCCTCCAGTGTCTTTCCGCCATCGGTAGCATGTGCAATCACCGGGATAGGTCAACCGCTACTTGGGTATCATCTTTACATAGTTGCCACACTGCTCGAGCTTACACCTTTGCAACATTTTCTACCACACGCTCATCCAGTCACTAGCGGAGGCGGCCGAGCGAGCGAGAGAGCTCCAGATGTTCGTGGCGATGGCGCCCGAAGGCACACGGTCAAAGACGGGCCAGCTGGGACCCTTCAAGAAGGCGAGAGCGGGAGAGCAAAGTAGCCATTTTCGTCTTTTTCGGCGAGATATGGAAGATTACACAGCAGTAGCATTGTTTCCTGTGTCGACGGCAGAACAGCAGCTGACGTGGAGATACAGTTAATTATTTCCATCGACCACGGAAATTCACAGCGGGGCGCCCTCGTTCTTCGGAATCGCGGGGCAATGCTATTGAAAGCGAGCGAGCTCCGGAGGAGGACCACCTTGTCGTAGTCCTGAGCTCCTGCGCTGAACGAACCGCTTGGAAGTAAGCTGTAGGAGGGGGCACATGCTGCTGATGAGTCGTCATGCAGATAACTTTGAATGCCACGCAAGGGCAACACAGCAGGGTACACCTCGCCTTGGCCCCAATGTCCTTTCGATCTGTGTCCTCTGCTCTCGGTGCCTGCCTGTCCGTTTTGTTTTAGGGAGCGTTCCACATGCAGGAACAGCTGCAGTGGCCGGTGATCCCCGTCACGATTCACGGAGCGTACGAGCTGTTCCCTTTGAAGTGGAACGTAAATCAGTGCGGCAAGGTAGGACCTCAAGTCAAGCGAAGGTCGTGTGATGATCCCCCCCATCGCCGAAAGAGGGAAGCACACTCGTAGATAGCGTTGTCTAATTCTCAAGTTGTGAGTCCCAACCTATGCCGTCAATGTGGCCGTCGCCGCCCCCGCCCCCGCCCCTCACCAACCGTCCTACCTTTTGCGAGCAACACAAGGCACCGCACGTCCCAATTCTTCATTGAGCGAAACGCTGTTTTCGCCGGGCACGTTTCGATTGTTTTACAGCGCTTCCAGGCGTATACAGTATTCGTGTGTGTAAAAAAAATGGCTGTTACGTTTGTACCGCCGTGTGCCTTTCGGCTCCCATCTATGCTTCTATTTCTTGTTGTTCCCCCTGCTTCTCCTCGTGGCGGCTGTGTCATTTTTCGTGTTGATTTTGTTGCACTGCTTTGCTCGCGATCAGGTGGTGGTGAAGTATCACAGACCAATCGAAGCGGCCGAGATCAAGTCTCGCGAGGGGCTATCACAGAGATTGAGGCAGGCGAGTCGAAATACACAGCCGGCAACAGAGTTCGACGGAAATGAAAGATGCACTTGTTGGGTCTCTTCACGTCAGACTACCTGGGGAAGTCACCGTATCTACGAATGCTTGTAGAATATATCATGGTATTCAAACTACGGGGAACCATTCGGCGTTGAACAACGCACGGCTTGCTGCGTGCACCTTTTTAACTGCCCTGCGCCTTTTTTCTAGCGTCTTCGTCCATCCACCCTGTACGCACTGATCAAGGATTCAGATGGACAGCAGTGCCCAAACAGAGAGTCATGACCATCTGTTGGGTCTTGTACAGGCAGTCTATACACGCGACAATCACGCCACATATCCTCCAAGACTTGATTTCACTGTCGCGGCTGCTGCTGCTGCTGCTGCTGCTACTCGAAGCTTTGCGCAGGCGTACGCTTGCCGGGGTGTACTCTCGTGCGGGCGGCGTTTGTGTTTCACCCTTTTGTCATTTTTTGTTGTTGGTCGGCCAACTTATCACCCTTGGTTTTTTTTTCATGGGTCGACGAACAAGAAATTCTCACCCGTTTCATTTTTCGTTGTCGATCGACTGGAAATTCTTCACTTTAATTTTGTTTATTTGGTACCATGGTTATTGGTCGGCAAAACAGGAAATTCTGGAGGCCCTGGACCAGGCCAACGTGCCGGAGGCCGGCGCCGCCCTAGACCCTTCCCGCCGCGCGGCCAGCCTCGCCGCGACGGCCTTCACCTACTTGGCGGCCGCGCGCGCGGGGAAGGCTCTGGTGAGCTTCTCGCGGAGGGAGGGCGTGGCCGTCTGGGCGCTGGTCGCCGGGGCCGTCGCGTACGTCTTCCTCTCGACGGTGTTCGTGTTCTACGTGTACGCGAGGAAGTGCTTCAGCGCTCCGCGCCGTGTTGGTGTTCGTGGCGGGGGTGGTGCGGGGACGGTGTCTGGCGGGTTAGGGTTGACAGACGATGGGGTGGCGGTGAATGGCGGGGAGGGGCGCGGCGTTGGTACCGCGGAGCTCTCGAGAGGGGGAGAGGGCCGCAGACGCGAGGGCGAGTCAGACGTGACAGATCAGATGAAGGGTAGGTAAAAGAGGTCGAATGTTCTGATTATGTAGGTGTGAGTGCCGGGCAAGACAGATTGGAGCACCAGGCCTGCTTAGAGCGGTAGTGTCGGTCGTTTTAATGGTGTAAGAACGACATACATGTGACTGGTGTGCCACCGGTGCCGTGGGGGAACGTTGGCGTTTTCGTGCTGTGTGTTTGTGAGGAGTTTGTTTGAAGAAGAGGAGTTAAAGAAATGGACAATGTCGTGGCGGCTTGGGGCGAACACAACTCCGCGTGGATTGTACACTCGGCAGTGTGATTGGCGAAGGTTGCTTTTGATATTTGTGCTTCCAAAGCGGAAGTAATAACAGTAGTGAGATCGATTTGGGTTAACATCTTTTGCCAGTTTTGACGTTAGTGCGCGTATTCGTGTGGAGCGCCTGAAACAAATCTGTGTTGTGGGCAACAGGACAGCGGCACGCGAGCTGCAGGAAGCGACGAACAGGCAGCCGGACCCGCAGAGCCATTTGAGAGCAGAATCAGAACACGGTGCTGTCGCACATGCGCGCGCAAGTGCATGCATTCACGCTCGACCCACCGCTCTTTCCTTCAAGACACCTATCTGGGGATACATTGTAGACTATTTTCGCAGGATGGGGCTTCCTATAGGCTACAATGGTGTAAACGGTTGAGGCCCGGACACGCTGAAAGAAACGGCCTGTCGCATGTTGTATTTGCCCGCCCCGTCGTGCTTTGCTACTACCTAGCCAACGAGAAATGTGCTGCGGGTGGTGCATTTTTTGTGGAGGGAGCTTGCCCGTCAACGTGCAGTTCGGGCTTCTCGTGTCGTGAGGGAGTTAATTGATGGGGGGAGGAGGTTGAGCTGGCAGCAACCGATTGATGTTGGTGTGTCCTCGTTCGTTGTCTACTTATGTGTTGTATTTGCTGTGCTCGTTGGGTACGTGGGCGATGTTGCGGGCAAGGGGAGATTCAACTGAGCACCGCGAAATCATTACCGTGGTCATCTAGACTGTCGAAATGCCCGCACTCCTGTATGGATGCGCCTGAGGGGTGTGAAGGGGACGACAGGCGAAATCGACTCGGGCGACCCCCGTTCGTTGTTGGAGGAACTTGAGATAGGCGATTAGTACAAAAGCTCTATTGGAACAATCTCGATAGGGAACGAGGAAGTAGGAAATGGTTGTCCCTCTGACGCGTACGTAGGGGCTCGGAGAACGTCTTTGTGTGCATGATGGGAAGGAGGTATTTGTTCGAGTTGTGCTCGTGCGCGTTGGACAAGCCTCTCGTTCCTTCGTAGCTCCGTAGGCTCCGCCCTGTGCCCACATCTCCCGCAACGTGCTCGTGTTTAAAAAGCGACCGGCGAGATGCCGCGCCCTTGCTTGCTACAGCGTTTTGGCGCACGCACGCATAGCCATGTTTGCAACGCTTGAAGAAAACCGCGGGAACGTGTTGCTCGCTTTCGGCCGCGAATCGTTGGTACATGTAGGTTTGACTGTGTGTTCATGTACCCGTTTATTTTCCGGCTTGCGCAGGCGTTGTTTGTTCCTTTGCATGTTCAGCTGGGCTTCGAACTGCAAGGACTTTTTCGCGTGTGCCAGGACTTTCCTTGGGTCTTAACTTGGAGTGCTAACGTGAAGACATTACGAACAGTAGCAGCATCAACGAGGACGACCGACGAGCTGTGTTGTTTTTCACGTCGTTTCTCTTGTATCAGTAGGGTGACATGTCGAAGGTCGCCCGACGTAGCAAACATCGTTCTACCACGTTGGCGTGTGGTGTCGGAGCGGGTGAACGCCCGATAAGAAGCGCAACACCTTATTTACCCTCTTGTTTGCGGAATGGCTTCTTCTGCACATAATACAAGCCCTACCGAGCCCATCCAGGCACGCATGTCGAGACGTGTATCTCTGTATGTGCCGTCCTGCGCCAGAAATCAGTAGTGGGTATCACCTCCTCTACATATCACCAAGTGTGCGTATGCACTTGTATTTCCTTCCCAGCTCGGCACGTACTCATGCGAGAGGTGGTGAACAAGCTCGCAGCACTACACGCCCCTCGAGGATCACGCCATCTGCCTCTCAGATTGCCGAACCTTGAAAATACAGACCCATCAAGGAAACGAGGGAAACGACCATCTCAGCAGTCCATATATCGTTCGATAAAGCTACGTGCCGTTCGGCGCTGCTCGATCAAGACACGGCACTGCTTTGTACTCGAAATAGATGCGCCCGCAAGCATACGCGCTACGCAGTTTTAGACGCGATGTCATTTTCTCCCTCCTCGCGTACAGAAGGGCGGTCAAATTAGGCTACACTACCGCCAAGCTTGCGATTGGTATGATCGAATCGCCGTCATCGCGGGCGCGGCAAACCCCACGGAGCCCAGGCGGTTGCTAGCACCAGCGGCCGCAGGATTACCGGGGCTGACACCGGCGTCGCGGGCTCCGTTCATTGCCAAGAAGTCCTGACGGAGCCTCTGCTGCGCAGACGACCTCCTGCGGGATGCGTCAGAGGTCGGCGGTGGCGAGGTCGAGGTCGTCCCTCCAGCGCGGAGCAGTGATGCCTGGGGCTGGCTCGATGATTGCACTTGTAGCAGCTGCTGCTCGGTGAGAGGTGCAGCTGACATCCGTCGACGTTGCTCCTGGGAGGGGGGTGGGGGCGGGCCGTCTCCTCTCGCGCCCGGAGAGTCTCCTCCGTTGGGGGGAGTCACAGTGGTTGAAGGAGGAGGAAGAGGAGGAGGAGGAGATCGAGAAATCACGCCAGCGGGTCCGCTGCTGCTACCCGTTCCCACCAAGCCGATGCCCCCGACTGCCTTCGCCCCGAGCGCCGACAAGCGCCGGGCGGTTGCACGGGCGAACCCCCGCGTGGGCGACGCCGCCCCTCCTCGCTCTTGCAGCGAGCGTGCAGATCTGGCCGTGGTGAAAGCCTCGGCTCTACTTCGGGGAGGCGGGGAAGTTGACGAACCGCTCCCACTCTCTTCGGCTTGCCCATCGGAAGCAATGGCGATAGGGACGCGGCCGTCTGCGCTGCCGGCACGTTCACGGTACGGTTGGGCCGGTGCTGTGGTGGTTGATCGGGTGTTGATGGCGGGCTTGCTGCTAGCCCATCGGACGCCATCGGCGAACACCTTGCCCGTATCACTATCGTCTGTGCCTCCACTCCCGCGTCTCCCGGTACCGCCGAGAGGCTTGCCGATCGCCCAGCGTGCGCCCCCAACGCCCACTCCAACGCCATCACCAAAGCCAAGGCCGTCACAACCACTCCCGCGCCTCACGGCCCCTACGCGCGCCCTGGGACTCGCGGGTCGCCGCGTTGGCGTTTCTAGGGCATGGTGGCTGACGACAGACGGTGCGTGGTGGGCGATAAGCTGGCGGAAAGGCAACGAGAGCGCCTTGTTTCTGCTTTCGCTCTCCCGGCGGCTTCTGCTAGAGCCGGCGCTACCGCCGGTGGCGGTGCTGGCGTGGGCTTTGGACGATAAATGTGACGACGTTTCTCCTAAATCATCACGAGGTCTCAGGTCGAAGTTGGTCTTGGTCGGGGTCCTGTTGTTGATGGCGGTCGCCGCCTTCGTGGCCAAAGATTTCAGGACCTCCTTTTTTTCTCTCGTTTCTACGTCCTTGCCGTCTCCGGTGTAGTCGCGGTGGCCGTTACCCATATGTTCTTCCCTGTCGAAATCGGCGTCGCCATCGGCGTCGCACGCCCCCATGCTCAGGGGCGGCGATAAGGTTCGTGCGGGCTGGCCTCTCGGCGGCGGGCTGGCGGGGCCGACAAATCCGGCCAGGTTGCTCGTATCGATCGGCGGAGGCCGAACAAATGATGCTCCTTGCGAGCTTGTCGTGCTGCCTGCCCAGGCTGTGTGCTTCCTGCTCCCGCCGCCACCGGAACCGCTGCCGCGGCTGCTGCTGGGGCTGCTGGGGCTGGCGTCGTCGACTGGTGCGCGGCGCCCTGCTGACGGTGGCGGCATCAGCGAGGACGGCGCCGGCCGGAGGGCCGCAAGTGGTCGAAATTTGGTCCTCAGGGGAGTTACGACAGTGCCGCCTCCTCGAGCTTCGGCCGTTGTCGACGAAGCAAGGGCGTCGTCCGCGGCGGCAGAGTAGGTCGTCGCCCCACGACCGACGGTAGTTGTTGTCGCCTCCGTTGAGCTGGCCTGAGCGAGAGGCACCGACAGCGCGCTGTTCAGCGAAGAGCGCCGGGCCGCTGCCGCCTGCGTCAGCGTCGAACGACGCCGCCCCGACGACTGCAGCATCCTCGAGATCACCTCGGTGTTGGCGAAGTTTACCGCGAAGTTGAAAGCCTGGAGAAGACAACGGAAAAGAGAGGCAATTATCTTTGTTGTTAGCAACCAAGCGCATGATTCCAGGCGCGTGCGGGAGCATTAGACCAGCTAAGCGCTCAATCCATCGAGGCTGGTGTCCCTGAGGTTTTCGCCAGGACGGATTTGGAACGGACAGCGCCTGCGGTGCACGTGCCTCTCTCGTAGAGTGCGTGGGATCTCCGCGTGTCGACTACGGAACGGGTGAACGTGGCTGCTTGCAGTGGTCGTCACCGTACATGATTACCGCCCTCGAAATTACAAGAACGCGGCGCGGGGGCCCAAACTCTTGCCGAAAATAGCCACCACCGGTCGCACACCTTCTCTTGAAAGCACACCGGGACCCCCTCTCCACCTTCGTAACTAACATCTTACCAAAAAGGTCTGCGTGTGGAGGGTTGTAGCTGATGCCCATGTTTTCTGCTACCCCGCGGTATCCCTCGCAAAACTAACCTCGAACCACGTCTGGACAACTTCGGCGTCGGTGTCCGCGTTCCCGCCGTCCAGCTCAAGCACAAGCTTGTTCCTCCTCGCTCCGCCGGTCAAAACGATCTGATTCATGGCGTTCCCAGCGGCGGCGGCCGCTGGCTTGTTCGCTGTCGCTAGCGCGCCTTTATGAAAGCCGAGGTGCACGAAGTCAAATAGAGTTGTCTTGGCTGATCCTTTCACCGCCGTGTGGCCACAGCATCTGCCAATGTCGTCGCAAACACATACCGATAGGGGGCGGGGGGGGGGGGTGCAGCCTTGGGAGCGTTCGTTGTCGGTGGACTACCGCCGATGAATGGAGGGGGCGGAATTGGGGCGCCCACGTTCTCGGTTAACGATTGTGCCATCCAATTATTTCGGGCGTTTATTTGTACACCATTCGCGTTATCTGGGCGCATCAGCCGGGGTCATACAGCCGGAAGGGCACAAAGGAAGTTTGATTATCGCTCTACGTCGAACTCGGAGCCGTCAGCAGAGTGTTTCGCACACTACTGGCTTCAAACACGAGAAGCGCGAGGTGGTATTGCGAAGGTCCCAAGACAGAACATCTGGCAAGAAGCGATGAATCGTGCGAGTGCAGTCGAATACCTCCCCCCTACATGTAACGGTACATATACCGATACATGAACAGCCACCATGAATATCGTAGGTACGAGAGTGCCGAGTGCTATGGGAACTTTCCTCTAGCAGAGCCATTCCCCTTGTGTCGGAAGGCGAGCGCTATGCACGAACCACCTGAAAAATGTTGCTACAACGTTGCACGAATAGTGGTTGTTCGTTAGCTCACCTCCACAGGATGGTGCCCAGGTCAGGCGACATCCACACGAACCGCATCTGTGGGTTGCCGAACCTTCCGTGCATCACGAAGAACCCGCCCTTAGTGAGCAGCGCCCGATGCCGCTCGCTGTCGTAGGGGGCGGTCCCGGCACTGCCGGAAGAGCACACGTTGCTGCCGCGGCCCCTGCCGCCGGCGCCGAAGCCGTTTCGGTACAACGGGAGAAACGGACCGTTCGCCGCTCCTTCGGCCTCGTCGTCCGCTATCGCCGAAAGAGGCGGGGGCCGACCTCCGACGACATCGCTGCCGTCATCCTCGCTACCCGCCGCGTCGCCCAGCCCCCGGTCGCCGGTGCCGAGATCTCGAGAGCCGAGTTCTTGAGCTTTAACGTCTCGCGTGCCGACGTTCCGTGTGAGGCTTCGACGGTGCTGCGGGATAGGAGGGTCGCCATCTCGGATGGTCGTGCTTCCCACCCCCTCGCCTCCCGCGCGGATAGCGCGGGTGCCCAGGCCACGCTCGAGGTGTGCGCGGGAAGTCTTAACTGCGCATTTTGGTCCGTTTGCGGTAGCGTCATCCTTGTCCCTTATCAGTCCGCTCGATCCATCCCACCTGCTTTGTCTGTCCGCTTTCTCCTCCTCCTCCTCTTCCCCTTCCTCCTCCTGCTCATGCTCCTCCCAAGCTTCATTCTGCGTACCTTCTTTGTTGTTCTGATCGCTGTCTGCGCGGCACCTGCTGCTGTTGCTTCCCGCGCTAGTAATTCTTCTGCTGCTCGCACAGTTGCTGCCACTGTTAGCGCCAACTCGAGAGCCTCCTTTACGCTGAGCTGGGGTAGTCCCGAACGCGTAAGTCTTGCTTTGGGGTTTGCTTGAACCGCGAGCGACCTTCTGACTATGGTTTTCCGTAGTTGACCCCAGGTCGTCGTGGTAGCCCTCTTCCACTTCCCCCTCCTTCTCCTCTTCCTCCTTCTCCGCTTCCTCCTCCCCCTCCCCCTCCTCCCCCTCCTCTTCCTCCTCCTCTTCCTCCTCTTCCTCCTCCTTCTCCACATCCTCCTCTTCTTCTTCCGGCTCCTTCTCCTTCTCCACTTCCTCTTCCTCTCCCTCCCACTCCTCTTCCACTTCCTCTTCCCCTTCCTCCTCGCTTGCCTCGTTGCTTGCCTCGTCCTCGCCGTTCCTGTCGCTGTCGCCGTGGTTTGACCCATACCTCTCCCCTATTCCCTCGTTCTGCCCTTCCTCCTCCTCCTCCTCCTCCTCCTCCCCTCGCGCGTCAATATTAGTTTTTTTACCACCACCCCCGCCCTTGCCATCATTCTCGGGGGCTGCCGTCGCCTCCATGCCCTCCACGGAGCCGTACGTAGAACCGCTTTCATTGCCGTCATCCCCGCCCGCCTCTTGCTGGAGTACCTCGGCCAAACCCGCCGACACCGCCGCCGCCGCCTCCCCCGCCGATATCGTCGGCCCCCCCGCTCGGTCATCGTTGCCGTCGGATATGGGGAGGCTCTCGAGGTCGCCGTCATCGCATGAACAAGTCTCGCTTCTTGACCCTCCGCCGCTTTGCGCGCTGCCGTTTCGGGGGTCATCGGAGCGGGCCGCGTCGATAGCCCGGGTGACGGTGACCTCTCGGTCAGCTAGCCGACCGCCCAATTTCTTCGCGAGTTTCTCTTCCTCTTTGAAGGCTTGCACCTGGTCCTGCAGCTGCCTTACCTCCGCCTGCCGTTTTCGAGGAAAGTTCAGAAGCCGGTGCAAAAAGGTTGGTGAGCCAAGGGACTAAGCATGAACGACTCGGACAGGACACTTTTTGGCATGACGGTGTAACGGACCATGACGATGACACCAAATGGAACCCAGTCTGTTGGGCCGTCTCATGAAGTTCAAGTAGTCGACCGTATAAAAATCTTACCGCAAGCGCGGCGTTCTCTTGCAGCGTGATAGTGAGGAGTTCCTTCGTTTCGTCTGAAACACCTTCTCCGTCGTCCTTCGTCCGGTGAGCTTGACTCTTCTGTCTCTCCCTCTCTTGCTGCTCCTGCTCCTGTTGCTGTTGCTGTTGCTCTTGCTCTTGTCGTAGCTGCTGCAGCTGCCGCTGCTGCTCCTGATTCTGTTCCTGTTCCTGCTTCCGCTGCTGCTCCTGTCGCTGCAGCTGCCTCTGTTGCTCTTGTTCCTGTTCTTGTTGAAGCTGCTGTTGTTTTTGTAGCCGCTGCTGCAGCTGCCTCTGTTGCTCTTGATGTTGCTCCTGCTCCTGGTCCCGTTGGTGCTCCACCTTCTGCAGCTGACTTTGCTGCTCCTGCTCCAGCTCCTGCAGCTGTCTCTGCTGCTCCTGCTCCAGCTCCTGTTGGTGCTGTTGCTGTTTTTGTAGCAGTTGCTGCAGCTGCTTCTGCTTCTCCTGCTGCTGCTGCTGTTCATGTTGCTGCTGCTGCTTTTGATGCTGATGCAAGATCACCGACATAGCGTTGGGGTGAGAGGCCGGACAGGCAACACATCGAAACGTTCCGGATGTGCTACGCTGTTCGCTGCTGAAACGTTCCACCCTCCGCGGGTGCGCTGCGGTATGCGCTACGCAATAATGCACAATCTGGGTGCCACATTCGCCATCAGGAAAGTATGAGAAGGTTACAGGAACGGAGGAACGGGGGAAAGAAGGAAAACAAAGAAAGAACATGGGGGATGCGTTCTAGATGAGGAACCGTACAAGCGGGAAGCACCGTTCGCTCACCATCATTATTTCTTGGAGGTTGCGGCAGCACTGCAGGGCTGACACGCGGTCCAGCTCCTGTTTTTTGCGGGGGATGGTGGTTGTGTGCCGTTAGAAATCATTCAGTTCGTCGGACACAGCAGCACGGGGGGGAGGAAGTCAACAGACGGAGGCTGGAGCAGGTGGCGTTGCAACAGCAAAGTGTTGTGGAATTCTATCGTTATTGCATGTGCTTGCGTGCCGTATATTTTGTTGCCATTACCTGATGTTGTGGCTGAAAACATAAGTGCGTGCCAGAATTGCAATGGTCTAAGTATCCGTGAGACATGACCGAACCTAAACGAGGTGTTCGGTAGTTGCTACTAACCTTGGGAGCGTCTCAGGTTCATCCGAGCCCTCCCCGAGAGATCGCACCGAAGACGTTAAACAAATGTCGAAGTAGGTTGTCAAAGGCTCGACACAGACATATCACGTACAGCCCATACCAAGAACAATCGTGAAGGGTGTGGATCCAATATGCGGAGAGTCCCGTTTATGTCTGCCTGTATGGGACAACAAACAAATCGCGGACCTCAAGAGCCTCTTCCGCATCGTTCGAGCCGTCCGCGAGGGCCTTCGCGAGCATGGCACATGCGCCCTTGTCCTCCTCCGTGGGCGATCTCGTCGTGTGGAAAGCGTGCGCTGCTTCTACAGCCTGTTTTGCGTGTTTCGCGCGTGAGCCGAGAGGATATCGACCAGCAAGCAAAGAGCGGGGTGGTAGAGGAGGGTGACGCGTTGCACGATGAACAGGATGGGCGGGAAGGTCGCGCACGGGGTTGCACTTGCGCGTGCGTAAGGCAGGTGGAAACCTGATAGCCAGCACATCCCGAAAAAGCGCAAGATATTGATGGGAAGAGGCAATCACCAACACGGTACGACGACCATATTTCTTGTTGTGTTTATTATTGTTTTCGTGTACGCTCATTCATCTGCATACAAACAACTTGGTTCCAGTTTTTTCACATTTATTCGTAGTTTTTTTTTTTCTTCTTCTTCCTGACCTCGAGCTCCTCCATTGCCTCCGCGATGTCACCGTCCTTCTCCCTGATTTCTTCGGCTAGCTCTCGCAAGAGATCTTCTTTGGCCTGGACACAACTCGCCGGGGCCAAAACGAAGTGCACACCCAACATCGAATTTGGTGCGGTGACGGCGATATGCCCGCACGCACGTACGTGCCAACATGTGAGTCAAAGTAGCAAGGAACCCATCCAACACAGATTGGAGCAGGTTTAGTAGCACGCCAGGGACAATGAGATGAGCGCCCTCCCGTGCGTTCTCCGTATCAAACGACGCACATGCAACGTGGCTCTGAATTTGCGGCGCTAATGCCCTGTTTATGTTGATTTGATTTCCTCTCGCTGAAAACGATCGCTCTACTGTGTCTTTGTATCGGTCCGGAATAGTAACGAAGAATAGTGAAGGTAAAAGCTACAAGAAATCGGTATCTAAACGTCGGAATACACTTGCGTCTTCTTTGGAGCATAGTGCGCAAGCGATACTACTTCTATTCTAGCACCCTCAATAGATCCGTATGCCGTTTATGCCGTTGTGGGGACGTTTATTTTCGGTAGAGCACAACTTGAAAAGGTCGACATGTGCTCATAGGCCACGAAGACAACCCGTCAACATGCTGCGGCTGTACCCATGACATTTCCGAAGGCTGACAATCATCGTCTTTAACCTCCCCTTTTTTGTGCACGTTCTCCCATCGACGTAACGTCTAACCCAATCAAAACTTACAGCGAGCGAGGCCTTCATCTCGGCCGCCTCTCGCCTGAGGATGCGGAGCTCTTCGAAGGGCTCGAGTCGTGCGTCGCCAACCTCAGGGAGATCAGGTATGCTGTCGCATACTGCCTTGCGGCAGCTCTGCCCGAACCTGTGTACGTGTGTTTTCTTGTTCTCAGCATCGACCGCGCAATAAGGCTGAAAATTGTTAAGGCGCCAGTCTTACGTCGGGACGAACACCGCGAACAACCAATGAGTACCCGTGTTTCATTCAATAGCATCGGTCACGCAAACCGACTGACCAACGAAGAGTTTTCGGTCTCGACGGGACTAAGCAATGCGCGCGCAAGTGGGTAGGTGTGGGTTGACATTTTTTCCGGAACTCAACATGAACCGAAAAACAGACAGAGGACGAAAGACAACCGGCACGATGGTTGGGTGGCGGCAAATATATACTCTCGTATTTACATGCACTCTTAGTCATGGGTGGTGAACCCCAGGCTTCCTCCACCATCACATGCGAGCAATAAACTTCACCTACACGTAGCCACTGTCTCAGCCAGGTCTTCCAGATCCAAGCTGAGGGTCACCACGAACACGGTCCGACACCCTATCCTTCCCAACGGCTTTCGCAGAACCGACGTCAGGGTGCTCTCCCGGTAAGGGACGTGCGCCGCCGGGTTTGTCTGGAGCGCTCGCATCACCTTTTTGCGTGATTCGTAAGAAGCGTTTTATCACGAGAAGGAGTCGCAGCAGTTAACTTTAACGAGTGCAGAAGACAGGAGAAGAGAGTTTGGCTGTAGTACGGTAGAGTATCCACATGATTTTTCACGTCAAACCTACAACCGCTTTGCAAAATGTAAGGGTTATAATATCAATCGTTGTACTTAACGGTAAACGCGCTCTACACACGACGTAAATACATGGTAGTGCTTTGAGGACGGGAGAAGGTCTCGTGATATCCCGCCAATGGGCCCGAACAAAGGGTAGTTCCACGACACCGAGCTTCGAAACGAGCAGGGCAAAACTCAAGGTATTTTACTGCGTGGGGTAAAGAAAGGCAGAGAAGAAGTACAAGGCAATCATGCGAGGCCCCGCGCACACGTGTACATGTACCTTCTCGAGCTTCTGCAGGTCGGAGTTGATCTTCTTGCCTTCACGCTCCCGCGCGGCCCTTATCGCCTCTTGCTCCGGCACGGCGGAGGGGTCGCTTAGCTCGACGGCGGTCGCGTCGTCGAGGCCCGCGGAGAATCTGAGCTTCGTTTGTTTTCGCCGGCGGGGCGGTTGTGTGGGTACGGAACGTGCTTGTGGACAGGCGGGAGTTGCGGCGGGCCGACAGACATAGCCGCACCAGTGGGGTCGCCAAGATACAAAGGGGATAGGCCCGACGTATCTATTATAAACAGCACCTAGGCAAGGAGAACAAAGGCTCTGACAAGTACCCAAGAGTATAATCGACCGGCAGCGACGGCGATGTTCCCCATCGTGCATGCCCGTACACGAGCCCATGCACACCACGCGAACGGTACTTGCTCTCCCCTTTTACCATGTTGGGTCTAGTCTACATCTCGTTCTCCCACGCCTCCCTCCCCGATCCCCGTCCCCGCGCCCTCGCCCTTCCCGCTTACCCGTGTCGGTCGTTTTTGTACATCCTTTCGTAGCCGGCCAGATCGACCAGGGTGAGCTCGCACTCGTTAACTACTGTTCGGGTTTCGCATTTCTCGCCATCTCCACCACCACGAACGATGTCATCGCCATCGTCATCCCGATCTCCGTGGGCCGTGGTTGTTTCCTCCTCCGTCTCCGATGATATGGAAAGGGTGAACACAGTGTGGCTGCGAGAAGACCCCGAGTTTGCGGGTGTCTCACCCATGATGCGGTGAGAGTTGCCCATGAAGAATAAGTTGAGGGTGTCCTCTGCGAAAAGGGTGGGAACAGATGTGGACGGGTCGAGTGGGGAAAGACAATTAGTTAAGCGTACTACCAGCTGTCACTGGTAGGCGATACGTCCTGCGTCCAGTCTGCACCCCCCACCGGTTGGTATGATCGGTTCTCCAACAGAACCTGCCGCGTTGGGGGCGAATCCTGGGTTTGGGGGCTTGACTCCAAAATGTGAGCACCTCCTGGAGCATGCATGTGATATGTCCGGGTCTCAATCGTGTTTTCATCGACTCCTGTTTCTCACAACGACCAAACTAAGAGTAACACTAATTCCCCTCCTACGTGAAATTCCGTGGTATTGCATGTTAACACAGGATGGAAGGCACTCGACGCTCCTAACCAGCAACACTGTGTTATTTCTTTCCTTTCATGTACCAAGCCCGTAGCATGACATTTTCCCCGGCCGACAGAAGCTTCTGTGCGCGTTGCGTACGCACGCGATGCTTAGTTGTTGCATAGTCGTCTTCTCACCCTCGTTGTCGACGTAGAACGTCGTCAGCCCCTTGAACACCTGGTTTCCCTCGCCGTCGGTCATCGAAGTAACCGTTGCCCACTCCTCCATGGGTTTGTCGTCTCGATTGGAAACGTCCAGGAGGTCGTAAATGCGATCCTCGTACACTTCGAGGTAGGATGCTCGTACCTGGCAAAATGCATGTTGCACACGAAAAAAGGACTGAATGAAAGTACATGCCTATGTAGTTAAGGTAGTTACCGAGTGGATTGGCAACATCGGGACCCTGTTGTATGCCTTCCAGGTAAAGATCCGGCATGGTTTGAACTTTGCCCCTAATCTCTCTGTATGTCTCTGTCTTGCTCTCTTTCCCCAACTGTTCTGAGAAATACTAGTAATACGATCCCTCACGGCGTACTGGCATGTATTGTATGAGTGACCAACACTAAAAAACACGGCGAACGAGCGTAAAACTCACCACCGTTTTCTTCTTGGCGAAAAAGGACAAGGTCAGCGGGCGAGATATGATCAAGGTCGACAGAAGCAAGACCTGAAAGCGATCAACTGCCCGGAGTAACCAATTTTCCGTACCCAGCTCTCGTGTGCTCTGAACCACGTAAATTCAGGTCCCGTCCAAAACGAACCATTGCCCTTCTTGTACTGTCATCCCCGTGGCACTGTTGACGGTTTTATATAGCACATCACTAGCCTGTTCTATACAGCGATTTTCCAGGTTTTAGTGCGTGGTCGACAAAAACGTTACAGACGTATGGAGAGCGGTCGGGTGTACCAGACACAGCTCGACACGCCCTCACTTACCAATGGTTCTCACGCCCAAAGTCACACCGACACTCTGTTCACGCCGTTAATGTGCATCAGCACCTACACGATCTGGAACGAGCGGAATAGACAAACGGTATTGTAGAAGTTGTTTGGCCTGCTTGTCCTGGGGTGTTTTGACTTGGGGGCATCCATTGTAAGTTAGGCTTGATGATATCTAACCAACCTCGTAGCTCAAATATATCTTTCACTGGGTTCTAGGAGGGATCTCCAGTAGTCAGCGTTGTCGACTTGACGAAGCCGACTCTAACCGCACCCAGCCCACGTTCCAACTCCACCTACCGCGTAGCGCGTAGACAGCCCACTGGTCTCGGCATTCCTGATCTCGCGGAAGAGGTATCCGATTGCTCGAGGCGCCAAGCCTCGATCCTCGAAGCTCTCGCCGCCCGTGACGGTCCATGTCTTGCCGCTGTTCGTCTGACCGTAAGCAAGAATGGTGCCGCTGAAGCCCCGCAAGCACGAATCCACAGTATCCAGCGCTGCCGCATGAAAGACCTCCTGCAAACACAAGTGGTGGGGTTCGTTCGCGCGCTGCTCAACGAATAGCGCCATAGGTACTCCTACTAGTTTCGTAGAAGTACACCGAAGAGTGAGTGTACACCTACTGATGCTGAGGATATGTTACCTACTGATGCTGAGGAGTATGTTTCGTTACGGGACGACTTGTCCACCCGACCAACCAATCGGACGTTTGCTTAGGAGCTGCGTGTCTATGAAGACACTGCATGTGTTGCGGTGCGCTGAAAAAAGTCACTTTCGTTCTCATGATGCTCCTCTACAATCGTATTGTCTCTCAACCCCGCAATACCTCCTGAGTGGCGTCGTCCCTTAGAACTCCGGTGAAGGCGTAGAGGGCGGTCTCCGTGCCTCCAACAGTGTCCCGAAACTCCTCCGGGATTGATAGCTGCAGGATCTCCTGCACATTCGCAGACAACAAAACATATAGAAAAACATCGAGCTGGTTCGAGCGCATGCCGTTTGCGTCGTTGCAGACACATGTAGCAGGTACATGGCGTAGTCGCCAGTTCCGAAGTGCAATGTCAACACCACCCGTTGTTTCGCGGCTTGGTAACGTTGGATCAACATGAATCCGCTGCACACCGACAACTTCTACGGCACAACACCTCGTCTGGTTCGTCGTCGTCGTCATCTTCGGCGTCTCGTAACACCTCATACTCGACACGTTGGCGACGGTCGTCGACATCGTCCTGCTCCCCTTCCGTCAATGGACAAAGTCGAGCAAACGTTTGTGCTACCTCCTTGGTCGGAAGGACGCTACTCGACGGCATCGTAGATCTCGTAATCCACGGGAATAGCGGTACATCTATCGGACATACATTCTTGTCGTTCAGGAGGAATATTCCGGTGCGGCTTGTGCTCAAGGGGGCTGCACGACCAGACGCATGTGGAGATGCAAAGGTGCGCAACATGTGTTTTCGGCGGCGCAATTAATCGAAAACGACGAAAACGACCCGAAACGGTACCCCGCCCCCCTCTTGCGAACCCTACCAACTGACTCCCCCGCGGCCGCCGGCTCCCTGCTCTTCAGCCGACAGCAAAGAGAAACTTGGCCGTGGGCATCTCTCTTGAGCAAGACCGCGTCGAGCACAGCAGTGACAGCGAAGCCGAACCAAGATGGCTTTGGTGGATACGCAAGGGTTCGTCATGGCGGTGGACCGGTCGCTGTTCGGCCCGCAGGGCAGGCGGTGGATAGAGCGAAAGCTACCCAACGTCGCGACCAATCTCGCTTTCGTCGCGGTGTCGGCGTTTGGGGCATGTCTGCTGGTCTTCCACGTGAGTAGGGAGGGGGCGGGGGGGCGTGCTCTAGATGATTAAAGGGTAAGGAGGGGTGCAGAGAATCGGCAGGGTGCAAAACCGTGCAGTGGTGCTGCCGCCTGCGAAAGATGGCCCACCCCACACAAAAGCAGCGGAACTTGTTTTGTCTTCATTCAACTGGTGTCAGTTGCTACGTAATCCCAAAATCTAGAAACTACGCGGTCGTCGGTCACAAAAATGCCAGACTAGACTAGAGCTATCAGAAGATCCTCAGAACACGCAAACTATTGTAGCAAGAAAAGGGTACACAAGCCCGAAGAGACACACCTACATCCCTACAGCGCGTTTGCGTGCCCGAAAACTGAACTCTACCCGTCCACACACTACATTCGACTACAGCAGCATCATCCCCCCTGTCCTATACTTTTACCAAAATGAATGTTTGTCGACTACATCGAGCGTACAGCTGCCTGGAGTGCTGCCTGTACTTGAACACCATGGTAGGCATGGTATAAGTTCGGGGCGCACAACTCCTGTCTGAAGTGCTGTCAGAATGCGTCCGTGAACATACAGTGAACAAGAACATCCAACCAAAGCCATCATTGCAATTTAATCACCGAATCTACCCCCGATCATGTGTGTTGGACACAGCAGTAGTGTAAGTAATCGACACTGACTTCCCACTCCCACACACAGGGGTTCAACAAAAAGAAATTAAATTATTTCGCGCGAAGCGCGAAAAAGAACGGGCAGAGAAAGAGACGCAGGCGTAGATAGATATGGATGGGGCCTCACAGAGAGGCCACCACTGCTATTGCACACGCTCTTACCCCACCCAACACCACCAGTCAGCCGTGTACGCTGGACTGCTGCTGTTAAGCAGCGCGGGTAAGAGTGAAAGTGTTGTTGTTGTTGTTGTTTCTGACATTAGCTCTAGAGTCCACAAAAAATGGGGAGCCCGTGGTCTCAAAACCCGGCACATACGACGCCGCGGGGAAACAAAACAAAAATAGGGTACAAGCCACTCGGAAAAAGAAAACAAAATGATAAAAAGAAAATGAAAGGTACCGCACCGACCGTTCGAGAAAAGAGCCCTCGGAAACCGATCAAAANCCAGATGTACAACAACAGCAACAGCAAAAGCGAGATCAAGGTACCCAACACAGCAGAGTAGGCAGGGAGG